CCACTCACCTGCTTTCCAGCTCCGTTCTCCCGTGCAGGGCAACCAAAGACCCAGCCAATCAGCTGGGACTTGGGAGGCGGAGAATAGATGGGGGCGGGGCCAGTCAGAGGCAGGATTGGCTGGTTCTCCAAATGGCTCAAAATTTCCGCTACCAGTTCTCTAGAACTGGTCAGAACCAGCTGAATACCACCTCTGCTTAGGCACATTTTCCCCACTTATGACTGCTGCAAGCATCCCCATGGTCATGTGATCAAAATTCAGACGCTTGCCATCTGACTCATATTTATGACCGTTGCTGAGTCCCAGGGTCATATGATCTCCTTTTTACGACCTGTACATTCCCCCAACCAACAATGATCAAATAAGAACAGACACCTATTCCGCGTACGGTCAACAGAGCATATTTTAAAAGCGGGAATACTTGCTCAGACGGTTTCAAACTTGCCTGCATTTGAGGTTTATCTCAGCAGAAATGCTGAAATTGTTTTTTGTTTTTTTACCTTTTGGTTTCTGGGGGGGGGGGGGGAGAGGGAAATATGCTTTATTGGCTGCCCTGTTGAAGGAAATCTTGCATTTCAGCTTCCCCTCAACATTTTACAATAATTCTCATCGGGCTAATTACATACACAACACATTCCATGCTGGTTGTGTCGACTTGACGCGACCACAGGGATGTTGCAATGGTTGTGAAAGTGTAAAAGCCACTTTTTTCAGTGTTGCTGTCAAGGGGGGGAGGAGACGGAGAAAGGAGAATTCAGATGCAACCCCTCGACATTTTAAAAAATTCTCATCAGGCTAATTACATACACAATGCGTTGCCCTAGCAATTCCAGGCCGGTTGTGTTGACTTGACATGACCACGGGGATGTTGCAATGGTTGTGAAAGTGTGAAAGTCACTTTTTTTTTCAGTGTTGTTGTCAAGGGGGGAGGAGATGGGGAAAGAAGAATTCAGATGCAACCGCCTTCTCGGTCACACAGGAAGAGGAATTGGCAACGCAAGGAGGAGGAAATGTCAAAAAGTTTGAGATGCGTGTCCCTTTCACCCCCGATAAATATCCCAGATAATTGCCAGACAATTTGGAAACTGTGGCTCTGATCCTCCTCTAATTGTGGCATCAGAGCTGTGTCCACTTGCCAGGAGGGAAGTTTTATTATCCGGCAAATAAGCTGTCATCAGCTTTCCTTCTGGATGCTTTACGGCAGCTATTAAGTCACTTTTCATTCATTTCACTCCCACCCCCAAAATGATTAGTTTATTGGAAAAAAAATATGATGGAGTTTACCCCCTGCTATGTTAGCTAAAATATTTCAAAATATGTCTAGCAAATGTTGGAAATGAAACCAAAAAAACAGGCACGTATGTGGCAGACTTGTGTCACAGCAAAAAAGTTTTGGGCAAAGGTACTCTGGTGGGCTAAGAAAGATTATAGGGAAACACGTAGAGTGAAAACCTGGACTGTTTTTATTAGGTATAATATCAGAAAAAAATTAGAGAAGAAAAGTATGTACTTTATATTACGTGTCCTTAACAGCAGCGAGGGTTATATTCGCACAGTACTGGAAAAATGAAGATGAAGTCAGGAAGATGCTAGATTGTGCAGAAATGGATAGATTGACATTGAAAATTAAACAGAAAGAAGATGTAGACTATTATCAAACATGGGATTTATTTTACCAATGGTTGGAAAAAAAGGGGTGGAGATTAAGAATGTAAATTTGCATTGTTAAGCACATCCAGATAAACAAGAGTTGGAAAGGACCTTGTAGGTCATCTAGTCCAACCCCCTGCCCAAGCAGGAGACCCTACACCATTTCTGACCGATGGCAGTCCAGTCTCTTCTTGAAAGTCTCCAGTGATGAAGCTCCCACAACTTCTGAAGGCAACTTTTGTTCCATTGGTTGATTGTTCTCCCTGTCAGAAAGTTTCTACTTATTTCTAAGTTGAATCTCTCCTTGATCAGTTTCCATCCATTATTCCTTGTTGGCCTTTGGGTGCCTTGGAAAACAGCTTGACCCCCTTCCTCCTCTCTGGGGCAGCCCCTCAAATATTGGAAGGCTGCTCTCCTGTCTCCCCTGGTCCTTCTCTTCCCTAGACTAGCTCGTCGAAAACTTACCATGGGTTTCAATCCCCAAGCATTCCAAATATTAATCCTAATTGATCCCTGTTCAAATATCTTTTTCATTCCTTAAGGAATGAAAATAACGGTGTGATTTTAGGGGTCAACCCAAGCCTGAAAATTGTCAAGTGGCTGTTAAGATCTTTTCCCTTAACAATCCTATTACTAACTTAACAACTGTACTTGATCCACTTAATAACCATGGAAAGAATGGTCATAAAATGGGGGCAAAGCTCAATTCAATAAATTTCTCACATAGCAATGTAAGTTTTGGGCTCAGTTGTGGTTGTACGATCAGAACAACCTGTATATGAGATTTTTTTTTTGAGAGACAGCTTGGCTTTCAGTAACTCTGTTGGGGGCAGCTTCTCACCTTCGTTTTCCTACCGTGCTTCCAAATGTTCAGATGTTACAACTGCTCTCTCTCCCCCTCACCCCCCCCTCACCCACCCTCCAGCAGGAGGAGGAAAAACAGGGCAGGTTGGAAACTGTGAAATAATTGAAAAATCAATTTACTCCCACCGCCTCGGGCCAAGTGTCTCATTCCCTTTTGCAATAGGAGCCAAAAAAAGGCATGCTCCTTTTTAAGCAGTTGCACTGTATATGTTTGCACAAGTGTGTGTGTGTCACACACCAGACCACTTACAATGCCATCAGGAATGTCAAAGGGGCACCTGCACTTTGTAGAAGGAGTCCACGTTGCTGTAATCTTTCCAGGAGACACACACACACAAACACACACAGAGTGAACACAATGCTTTGCTTCTCCTCCTTTAGTGACGCTTAACTTGCAGAAAGTGAGACTTTCCTCCTCTTCTGAATTTTATTCATTGATTTATTCATCTCACAGAAGCTGCAGCTCAAAAGAGCTGATGACCCTTCGTGGACACAGTCATTTGTCCATAATGCCATAGTGGTGTCCTGCTTCAGCCCTCTCTAAGCATGGTTTATAACATCAGCATGATTTGCACAAGGCCCCCAACCATCTGGCTCTTCATTTTAGCAACCTTGGAAGGATGGGAGACCGAGTCAATAGCAATAGAAATAGCACTTCAGACTTATAGACCGCTTCACAGTGCTTTCACAGCCCTCTCTATGCGGTTCGCAGAGTCAGCCTCTTGCCCCCAACAATCTCGGTACTCATGTTACCCACCTCAGAAGGATGGAAGGATGAATCAACTTTGAGCTGGTCGGGATTGAACTCCTGACCGTGGGCAGAATTAGCCTGCAATACTGCATTCTAATCACTACACAGGAAAGGGAGGGAGGGAGGAAGGAAGGAAAGGTCAATAGTAATAGCAGTAGCACTTGGATATATAGAAATAGCACTTAAGACTTATATACCGCTTTACAGCCCTCTCTAAGCGGTTTGCAGAGTCAGCCCCTTCCCCCCAACAATCTGGGTCCTCATTTTACCCACCTCGGAAGGACGGAAGGCTGAGTCAACCTTCAGCCAGTCAGGATCGAACTCCTGGCAGTGGGCAGAGTTAGCTTGCAATACTGCATTCTGACCACTGTGCAGATGGATGGATGGATGGATAGGAGGGAGGGAGGGAGGGAGGGAGGGAGGGAGGGAGGAAGGAAGGAA